GGCTCTATCCCTGACTCCAGAAGTTAAGTGACGTTGGTTGCAGAAGGTGCCATATTCACAGTCTCCCCTGGGTCTTTGTGCGGTTGTTCCTCTGCCTGGAATGTTCTTCCCACTTGCCTACACTGCATGTAAAACCCTATCTTGGCTTAGATAGCACTTCCTCGAGGAGGCTTTCTCAGAGCCCTCCCTGCCGAGGCGGCGTGCCTTGTGGTATCAGATCCCACTGAACTGTAATTGTATTTACTTTGTGTTTTCCTCCCCACCAGGCTGGGATGATGCACTTGCCCCATTCACAGCTGTATCATGTAGCACAACCCCAGCACCTTTGATGTGTGATAAAATGAATGAATGGGCAAATGAACAAGTGATGAATGAATGAATGAGTCAATGGACCGGTGTTCCCTCACCCAGGGAACATGCCTTCTTTGCAGCCCTCTTCCACCCCTTACTCACGGATGTGCATTTGATTCCTGAAGCATCAGAGCGGCTCCCCACCCTCCATCCAAGACTCCAGCAGAGCCTGCCTGGGCATCGCTTCCAGGATTACTCCTGGACCAACTTCGCCTGAGTATTTCCACAGCCTCATCATCTGGGGAATATATAAAAATAGTAAATGGTTCCCCTGGCAACCACCACAGCAAATGGTAACCAGGGCGGGCAGTCCAGGAAAGCCTCAAGGTTGGGAGGAGAACAAACGCCATCCTCACTGCTCACTCTCTGAATCTTGGCCGGCCAGGGTTACCTCCGAGCGCCTCGCCTAGCCTCATGGCTTCCCAGAGACCACCTGCTCTGGAGCCCAAAGGGAAATAACAGGCTGGAGAAGCTGCCCCATCAGCCCAGACCATCTGTCCCTGTCAGTCCCTGGACTGCCACCCCCGCACTCTCTCTGTAGGGTCACCAAGCCAGGCTCTAGAAGATCTTGAGAGTGGGAAAGTCCAGCAGCTGAGACACTAAGCGGGACTGGAGGCAGAGCCTGGAGGGACTGTGACCCTGAGGTGTCAGGGAGCGGAAGCCTAAGGTCTCCAGTGGGTGGTGGTGGGTGCAGCTATCTCAGAGTAGCCTCATCAGCCAGGCTGCTGCCGTCTTTTCCCTGTGCATGAGTGAAGCTTTTGCTCCCCTGCCATCCCCCCACCTCCTGGAATATTGAGTTCACTGCATCCCGGTGGCTGTGGTTACCTCTACCCTGTCCTCGCCCTCGCCCTCGCCCTCGCAGCTGAAGCCTACTTCCTGCCTCGCTGCCCCAGCCTGCCTCTCGTCTAAGTCGGTCCTGATGGACATTACAAGAGCCAGGCCATGTGAGCTGTGCCTGGGACTCCTTTGTCTCATCTCCATGTTTCTGGATTTGGCCTCAGCATTGAGGACTCTCCTACTACTCAGGATCCCTGAAATAAATCTGTTGCCTTCCTGCCTGAGCCCTCTCACTTCTTCCCCTTTCACATTTATGCATGACCCGCCCCTTAATTGTCACTCATATCTGTGTCTGATTCATACCACTCCACTCTCTCTGCCACTCCTTCAAAGATCAAGCAGTTTCCTTCTGCTAAATAAAATGTATGGGAGGCTATTATTTGGACTGAGCTCCTGCATTAGGCTCCAATAGACCCATCCAAAATGGAGTCACTCACACTAAGTTTTCACCCCACGAAACCAAAAACGAAGCTATTTACTTGTAAGATCTGAGCCTCTGAGAAATCAGTATAGAGTTGATAGTCATACCCCATTAAACTGGCAAGATCAAGATCCTCAATAAGAAAATTAACTTCGAAATGGCCAATCTGCATCTTATTCCTTGTTTCGGCTTTCTTCAGCCTTTTCTGCCTATACAGCTCAGCCCTTAGCTCAGCTCATGGGAGTTCCTTTTCATTTTGTAGACTGGATGCTGCCCAGTTTATGAATTGCTAATAAAGGCAGATTAGACCTTTAAAATTCAATTTATTGAAATTTTATTCTTTGATATGTCCCACAATTTATCTGTCACATCTGATTCCACATATCCATCCATCAACAAAGCAGATGCATATTTCATGCTTATTATATGTCCTGCACTGCCCTAGGTCCTGGGTTTGGGGTGAGATGGGAGGAAGAATTGATTAAAATAAATGCAGGAAACTGCTCTGCTCTTAAGGGTTCCCAAAGAGGAGAACAGTGGGCTGAGTTGCAAAGTGGTTTCTCTAGGACCAGGAGCTGTAGAGATCTACAGGGATCGCAGCCACAGGGTCCTGAGCAAGGCAGGCTGGGGTAGATTGCTGAAGAGTGTTGGGTTTTTCTTGGAAACTTCTGTCCTGGTCTGACCCGCCAGCAGCTGCCTGCATGGGACGACAGTGCCCCCTCGTGGCGATTCCTGGAATGCTCCAGCAGCTGTTTCGTAAAGCCCAGCGGATTAAGCTCGCTCAAGAACGTCTATTTTTGGTTCCCAGTATTTCCATAATGAAATGCTAACAGGAGCAGCCAAATGGCTTCCCAAAGGACCTGAAAGCTGCACTGCCAACCTCCTGTGTCCTCCAGCTCTCTGCTTCCCAGGGGTCAGATCTGCTCTTTCGTTCTCAGGGACAGTTCTCTGTCCCATATGGTTTGATTAAAGGGTCCCAGGGATAGCAACTCTATGTTGGCTTTGCCGAGTCTGACCTCAGAGGGACGGCTGTGTGCACGTTCAGAGTGACGTGTTGGAAAGAACACTGGATCCAGGATCAGGAGGCTCGTCCCACGCCAGCCGCTAAGGAGCTGTGAGATAATAATTTCAATAATAGCTACATTTATTTAGTGTTTACTCTGAGCCAGGCATGGCATCGAGAGCTTCACACACAGAGTTGACTTTGGTCGTCACAAGCCTTTGAGACTGACACTGCGATCTCCATTTTACAGAAATCAAGGCAGAGAGAAGTCGAGTAACTTGGCCACGATCGTACGGTGTGTGTGGCAGAGTCAGGACTGGAGTTCATGTTTCTGGGCATCCACTGTGCTGCCCTGAACTGTGGACCTCACAGAATCGGAAACTAGTGGTGGTGTCCAGACACTGGGGTTTCAAGTGTTCCCCAGGCGATGGCGATACGGAGCCACCGCTGTCATCTCTGGGTTCCACCAGCTCTAACACTGAATGAGCCCCATGCCTTCCGAGAAGTGGAGGTGAAGTTGGGATGAGCGGAGAATCCTGGGTTCAGGCCCTAATCCCCATGGGTGTACAGGGCTGTACAGGGCCACAAGCACAGCAGAAACACCACAATGGCAGAGCACTTGTCCTGCCTGCTGCCCTCTTTACCTGGAGATGGTTTGTAGGACGGGAGAGCAATGGCCTTCCACAACATTCCTCAGAGTTTGTTATGCCACATGTGCTCCAATCTACAGATCCGTCACCTGTCCATTTATCTCAATGCCTCTAGAGCCATTTTCTATTTTTTAAATAGATTCACTTGACAAACACTTGAGACTTATGATGGGCCAGGCCCTGAGTCTGCAGGGGTGGAAGAAGCTGGCATAGCCCCGCTCTTGTGAGTTGACAATCTAGAGGAGGATATTGGCAGTCAGCAAATTATGAAGAGAAAAATAACACTGCACCCTGTGACATGTGCTCTGAAGGGCACACCTATGCACAGTGATGGAAAACAACAGGACGGCAGAGGGACCTAATAAGACAGAATAAGCCGAGCTTTAACAGAGACCAGAAGAATGTTTTTAGCCTGTGCCTCCTGTTGGTAAATGAGCTCTGTTGTGTTCACTACACGCTGGGCAATGTAGTGCAGAGCTTGCTTTGCGCTGGTCCTCTGCTGGAGTCCCCTCCAGGACATGGGGTGGCTGCTGTTGACATTTTCTCCCTGAAGGCCCAGGTATCTCTCCAGAGATGGAGAACTTTGAGCTTCCTTTTCATAGAAAAGACTCAAACTGGTGGCTCTTTGGGGATGGGGCGATGATGGGTGATGTTTGAGGCTGGAGGTTCAGAATCAGAAAAGTCTGCAGTCAGTGCCTTGAGGTTTGCTGACTTTGCTGTGACACCCAAGGCATAGGACCCACAATCAAGTCTGTGGGGAGGGTGCTTGTGGTCCAGGTGCAGGTATATACCTGTGAGCATGTGCATGTGTCCACACACATGTGTGCATGAGAGCAGGCTCAGGCTTCAGCTCCCGGCACACTTGTCTTTCTTCTATTCTGTCTTCTGTGATGGTAGGGCTGGGATTTGGCAAGCCACTTTTGGCTTTGGCAGGGGCTTCCTGTTGGCTTCAGCCGGTAGGGGGTGCTAGAAGAATACTGGAAAGCCGGAGGGAAGCCCTCTTTTTCTTGTTTACTTCCTGTTCTTGTAAGCGGCTCCGGTGGTACCTGACGCCGGCAGCAGCAGTTCCTTCCCCTAGCAGCAGCTAAATCCAGTTTACAGTCTTTCTAACACTTGTAGAACTAATTTCATCACCCCCAGCTCTGAGGTCAACACCAGCCGGCAGGCACCCCCACCTCACATGTCTGGTTCCAGCCCCACAAGGTGCTCCTGTCTCTAAGCTGTAATCATTCCAAATGCACCCCTTTGCTGCCTGGCCCTAGGGGTGGTAGTGCTTCCTCCATAACACCTTCTTAGCATTCTCTGACAGTAGTGTGAAGGCGTCCCAACCCCTAACATGAATTTCCTGGACTGTGGGGGCCTTTTGTGCCCTGGTGAGCCCTGGGGAGATCAAAAGCAGTTCGTCTAACCCCTATGTGGTTCGTAACTGCTCTACTCCGAGAAAGCAGGCTGGCTTACCCTTGGAGAGGCCAGTAATTCTGTTCTCAGCTCTTTCCTGTGCGGGCCTCCACATCTCAGGGAGGATGGACAGGTGCATCTCAGTTCCAGTCATCTCAGCACACGCCTCCCGCTCTGCCTCCCTGCTGATCTGCACCTTGGCTGTGGCCTTGCCTGACCTCAGAATGCTCCCAGGAGGAGAGGCCATTGCCTTCTCCATGGCCCCCCAAGTGTGAGCAGAACTGATGGAGAAACTGGGCCAAGCGAGGAGAGAAACTTGAGTGGGAGACCTTGGGGCCATTGGGAGAGGGTACAGAGAAGGTGGCTGCCTTGGATGCTGTGAGTTTCTGTTTCCTTCCTCATTAGTGTCTTTCTTACTGAGAAAATCTCTTTACCTTGAAGTAACTTGACTGAATCTTTGACTGGTTCCCTTTTGCCAAGTGAACCCAAGAAAGAAAAGGAAAGAAAGGACAAGGAACCCAGCATCCACTGAGGACCTGCTGTGTGGCAGGACAGTGCTGGGAGCCCCGCACACATGCAGTCCTTGAGGACTGATTGAGCAGCTCCGGGTGATGGGGGCACAGGTGAGGAGGGGGAGGGGAAGGGTCTTAGAAGAAAGAGTAATGAACACTATATGTCAACACTTTCACAAAGCAGGTGGCCCACCAGGCAGAACCACAGCAGTTCTCTGCCATTACAGATTTCCCTTTCGCCTAACTCTTCTGTGTTTGTATTGGGGTGGCGTGGGGGGAACACAGTTTCTTTTCGTTTAGATCATTTTTAAAGCTTTATTGAGATAATAGATATAGAAAAAAATCACATACATATAAAGAGTACATCTTGATGAGTTTGGATATGCGCATACACCTGTGATACCAGCACCAAAATTCAGGCATTAAGCATATCCATCACGGCCAAAAATTTCCTCCAAAATCTGCATCACCTCCAAAAAGTTTCTTTTGTGTTTTGGTGGTTTTTGTTTTTGGTAGTAGGATCACTAAGTATGAGATCGGTCCTCTTAACGTATTTTAAAGGGTGCAACTTCTGTGTCGTTAACTATAGGTACCATGTTGTTCAGCAGAGCTCTAGAACTTACTCATCTCACATAACCAAATTTTATACCCATTGAGCAAGATTTCTCCAGGTCCCTTTCGCCCAGCTCCTGGAAACTGCCATTCTATTCTCTGCTTCTATGAGTCTGACTATTTTGATACCCCAGGTAAGTGGAATCATGTGGTATTTGTTGTTCTGTGTCTGGCTTTTTCACTTAGTATAATACCCTCTAGGTTCCTCATGTTGTTTCCATTGGCAGGATTTCCTTCTTTTTTAAGGCCGAATAATATTCCGTTGTGTGTATTTGTCACATTTTCTTTACCTATTCATCTGTTGATGGACGGATATTTGGGTTATTTCCGTATCTTGGCTATTGTGAATAAGAAAAAATACACTTTCTCAACCCAAAGCAAACAGAGAAACATTGTGCAAAATACAAGTGTCGACAGAAAGGCAGGCTGGGAGGATAAGCAATGGCTGGCACGCAGCGCAGATCAGGCTTCTGAGAGAACCGTGGCACCCTGGCACACCTCTTCTGCCAGGACCAGCCTCACTGGGGGAGTTTGTCAGTGCTTTGCAGACCCCCATAGGTCCCACCTGGTTCTGGTTTGTAGAGGGAAGCAGTGGGACCCAGCCCCACCAGTGGGAGTTCAGAGCTTGCTGTCAATTCTGCCTGTTCTGCCAGGGGTGTGTCTGAAAGGACTGATATAAAATGCCCCTGTGTCTGGTTCTCTCTGCACCATTTAAAAACTCTCTGATAGTGATCAGCACAGCTATTAAAGCTATCAGGTGGAAATAAGTGAATCAGAGCTGACTGGTGGCTGACTCTGACCCCTACTCCCCAGCCACACGTCTGGGGTAGAAACTGGTCACATAAATGGAACTACAGTCTTGCTCAGGCTTTCCATTTGCCCCAGACTCTGAGTAGGGAATCTGGCTCTCCCTTTTGGGATGTTCCCAGCAAGCATTCTACCTGAGCTCACTCCTCACCTGCCCAACTCCTGTGATCGGGGGTGGCATCTGCAGCAGCTGCCCTCAGTGCCTCCAGAGCTCGAGAAGGTGCCATATCACAGATGGAGGGAGGTATGCCACCCATGAAGATTTCCTCCCTGACAGTGTCCCGGACAGCCGTGGTACACGGTGCTCTCCTTGGAGGGAAGATACCTGTATCTGCCTTGGGCCACATGTCAGTTCTGACGCTGAGTGGCCATGTTCTCCCGGGTCTCACCAAGATTCTTGGGTGAGCAGCCCTCCCTGTCATTTCCTTAGGCTCAAGTCTTCAAGGACTAGGCTAGAGGCTGACCTGAGTGACCAGCACCAAGTGGTCCTCCAAGCTGTCCTTCCTCCTGGACGTCCCCGGAGAGGCTCTCAACGCTCTCGGACCAAGACCTCTTGCCTTTCTCTTGGGATGAACTATTTCTCATTCTTAGTCTCTCACACCAGTGGACTCCTGGGATCCCAGCCCATAAGATGTGCCTGAATCTCCCCTCTGCAAACACCCCACTGTGCACAAGTGTTGTTATCCTCATGTTGTGAGTGGGGAAACTGAGGCCCTGAATGTCGGATGACTTGCTCGAGGTCACTAAGAGTCTCCAGATCCCTAACACTGAGTCAGCCCTATGCTCACCACACAACATTGTGTTACACACCACCTCACTGTTGTGGCCAAAAGTTATGCTTTGAGATCATCATCTTGCTCTGTCCAGGGACCCGCAGGCTGTTCTGAGGTTGGACTATGGTGGTTCCCATGCAGGCCCAGCATCAGAATTGCCTGTGAAACATTGAGAAGCTCAGGTGCCAGAGCCCAAGCCCAGGGAGTTCTGGCTCACTAAATCCAGGTGGGCCCAGGTGCACAGGTATCTGTAGAGTCAATTCTCATTCTCACGGTAGTCATGTTTTATAAAGTTTCTGTGAACACTGAATTAGCAGATACTGAACCTTTGCTCCCAGGGGAAACAGGGTTAGATTCCTGTGTCTCTGGTTACAACCAATACATAGCCTTGTTTCATGCGTGTTTCTATTAAAGACACGTTTTTTACTCTCTATTGTTGATTCATTGACACTGAACTCACGGCCAACAGCACCATAACTTGTGTCTGAAAGAAGCTTGGCGGACACACGTGTTTTCTCTGTAAGGGACATCACAGCCTTCTCATGCTTAGGAACACCAGAAAGCACTTCAGCACTCTGCTTGGGGACATTTAAAAAAATCTTTTTTCTTTTCTTATTTGTTTTTTTGAGACAGAGTCTCACTCTTGTTGCCCAGGCTGGAGTGCAGTGGCATGATCTCAGCTCACTGCAACCTCCGCCTCCCAAGGTTCAAGCCATTCTCCTGCCTCACCCTCCAAAGTAGCTGGGATTACAGGCATGCACCACCACGCCCAGCTAATTTTGTATTTTTAGTAGAGACGGGGTTTCTCCGTGTTGGTCAGAGTGGTCTCGAACTCCTGACCTCAGGTGATCCGTCCTCCTTGGCCTCCCAAATTACTGGGATTACAGGTGTGAGCCATCGTGCCTGGTCTCTTTTGTTTTCACAGATCATTGGGGAATAGGCAGTGTTTGGTTACATAAGTTCCTTAGTGGTGATTTGCGAGATTTCGGTGCACTCACCCAAGCAGTATACACTGTACCCAATTTGCAGTCTTTTATGCCTCACGCCCTCTCACCCTTTCCCCGGAGTCCCCAAAGTCCGTGGTGTCATCCTTATGCCTTTGCGTCCTCATAGCTCAGCTCCCACTTACGAGTGAGAACATCCAATGTTTGGTTTTCCATTCCTGACTCACTTGACTTAGAATAATAGTGTCCATTCTCATCCAGGTTGCTTCGAATGTGGTTAGGGGACATTTTCAACAGGGAAATTGCCAACACAAAGCACAAATACAGGAAAAATGTGGCACCAAATAGCCTGAAGAAAGGACACTTGTTTGCAGTGTGAGAACTAAAGCCAGTGGGCTGAGTGGGTCTTGTTCCATCCCCACTGGGAACGTGTGTGGTGAGCAGCCCTCATTCTTCCCTACTCTGTGTGTGCCTAAGAATGACCCCAAAAGCGCAGCCAGTATTGATTTTGGGGTTACAGATACAATTTTGCAAGCAGGTGAATTTGTATATATGGAATCCATGAATAGTGAGCATGGGCTGCGTTTTGCAAGCTCTGTTTGTCCAGCGGTGTGCTGAGTCTCACAGCAACCGGCAGTAGGAGTTAGCCGGGTATGAGGATGGTGCAGGGGAGCCGTGGAGCGGAGGCCCGAGCTGCTGCGGAGGGTGGAGAGAGCAGGTCAGCCTCAGGGCAGCTCTGTAGTTTCCAGGTTGCAAAGCTGGACCCACGCGGGACCTGAAGCTGAGGCCAAACCGCAAGGCCTCGCTAGCTCTTGCTACTGGAGCTGGACAGTGTATTGCTGGGATGCCCTTCCCCACCCAGAGCTGACAGGTGGCTGAACACCCTGCCCCTGCCTCAGACACTCTTGTTTGCCCTGTCCCAGCAGGTCCAGCTGCAGTGAGGATGGGGAGTGGCTCAGAAGGAGCATCAGGCACAGCCTGTGAGGTGGGGCCGGGAAGATACTAACTACTCATCAGCACCTAACCTTGCTTAGTGTGTTCCCATGTACAGACACCTCATTTACTCTCTATTGTTGGCTCATGATTGCTGGACTCTAACTCATGCCTGAACGCAGCTTACCTAACCCACGATGCTCTCTGTAAGGCACAGTGCAGTCTCTTGCCCTTAGGAACACCCCAAGTTTGACTGGACCCCTCATTCTCTACCTGAGCCAGTCTGCTCTGAAAGTAGATAAACAGAGGTCATAGAGAACATTCTTTCTCCAGGACGCTCAAAGGAGGACGTGGGTCCCGGCCAGGCAGTGCTGAGGACTGGCTCCCAGGCAGACTAGGGCCTTCCCAGCCCTGAGATGAAAGGAGGTGTGAGGTTAAGACGGCCCCAGAGCTGAGCTTGGGAAGGGGGATTGAGCCGCCTTATGCATACAAGTTCTGACAGTCAGTGCCTCTGGGGACATGTGAGGCCTGTCCTCCGTGGGAAGCTCGGATTCCTGTCTACCCTTCCAGTTTTCTGGGCCCCCAGCTACCTGTGTGGGAGGAAAGGGGTGGCTTCTCTGGGAAGCCCTTGTCACTGGGTTATGGGTATCCTCCGGGGAGGGCGAGGTACTTACTGAGAAGCTGCAGGGAACTGACACCAAAAGGGAAGCTCCCTGAACTCATTTCTCCAGAATTCTCCCTTCTGTCTCTTTTAAAGGGTTTCATCTTTATAAGCTCCAAACAGCTTATTCAGTAAAGTCATTCAGAAAAAATAAATCCTCATTGGCAATGGTTTCATTTCGTCCTTCCCTCCCTCAAGGACAAGGATTATCTGGCTAAGGAAGCCATTGCCTCCCTCTCTGCTTTATCTCATTCAAACATCATTTTATTCGCTTTTGCTACATGCCAGGGGCTGATCGCAAGGGGGTTCCTCCCCCAGATAAATGTCTTGGCTTGTGGGTCCCTTCTGGCTAGCTTCCCTGTCTCCCACTGCTGCCCCTCACACATCCCAACTGGGATCATTTTGGATACCTCCTGGAAAGTGCCCCGCCCCACCCCGGCACAGGGCACACTCTGGCCCTGGCCACTTGTAGCACCTGCCTTCCTGGTAGCCCGGGCGGCCTCAGGCATCTTCTTTCCTCACTGCATGCGTCTTCCTTGAAGACTCAGCCCCTGCCTTTGCGTCAGCAGCCCCTCGCTGAGGCCTGTTGCCCTGCAGGCTCTGGGGTCTGGGCTTGCTTCCATGGATTTCTTGTTTGAACTGGTGTGTGCGTGTGTGTGTGTGTGTGCGCCAGTGTGTGCGCGCATGTGTGTGTGTGTGCGCGCGTGCATGCCGGTGTGTGTGCATACTCTCCATCAGTCCTCATTGCAGCTTCCTAGGGGCAAGGATCGTTTCTTTTCCTCCCTCTGGACATTTGATCTATGGTCCTGACTGACTGTCCTGAAGTCATGGGTGAAGGGACATCTTGGGCCCCAGGCAGGATTTCTGGAGGAGAAGAATTAGAGAGCTGCCACCTCTCCACTCTCTGACTTTCTTTCTCCCACTGCGGTCTGGCTTGCCCAGGGAGGCCACCCCAAATGTGCTTTCAAGGACTCAGATCAGCAGAGAGGAGCTGTTGAACCTAAAAAAACACAGCTCCCCCAAGGCAGGAGCTCTCAGCCAGGAGGACTCTGGGATGGTTTTCAAACTATGCGATGATGACGTGGCCTAGGGGTTCCTTGCAGGTGACTCCTGCTGGGGGTGGGGGAGGCAGGGCCCGGCCCCTAACCTCCATCAGTCAAGCAGCTCCTCCAATTTGATTAGGCTGTTGTGCTTAGTTGCATTTGAAAAATGTTCTTCTGTGGCTTCAAAGCTTAGAACACCTTCACCCTATTCTAAACCTACAGCCTCCTTCTGTTCCTGCCATACACACAGCTGTCCACCAGGGGCTGGAGGGTTGGAGGGAGGAGCCCACGATCACCTTCCGGAAGCTGGGACCCCAGCGGCCATGTCTCTGCAGGAATCCAGCCTTGAGCCTCCGCTTGTCGCTAGTTGGAGAAGGCAGTGTCCAGGGCTAGCTCAAGGCTGCAAGCGTTCACGTGAGCCACACTGAAAGGGTGTGGAGAGATGGGCCGCTGGTGCTTCTCTGGCCTCAGACCCAGGGAATTGGGGATTCCAGATACATGACGTACACCAGGAAGTGCCACTTTCTGAAGGAAAGAGCCTTTACCTAGGAGTCCAAAGGCACGGGCTCCCATCTGGCTTCCACTCACCAGCCATGGGACCCATGGAGGTGACACCCCTGCTCCTCCTTCCTCACTGGGTTATACCGTGAAGCTGCCAGTGTGCTCTGAAAGCCTATGAGTACTGTTGACATGCCGGGTGCTGCTGTGGCTCTGCTCACAGTCGCCAGGTCAGGGCTCTCCTGGGGTATTTGGGGCAGCCCCTGGCCTGGTGCTTCTGGGCTGAGCTTGAGAAGAATGGGACAGTCACCAACTTAGGCGTGGGCAGTTTGCTTGGGAGGCCCCGGCCTGTCTTGGTCCATTTTGTGTTGCTATGACAGAGCACCCGTGGCTGGGCAATTCAGTTTTTTAGAAAAGAGGCTTATTTGGCTCATAATCCCGGCGGCTGGAAGGCTCAAGTTTGGGCAGCTGCACTGGTGAAAGCCTCAGGCTGCTTCAAATCATGGGGAAAGTGAACGGCGAGCGAGTGTGTGCACAGAGATCACATGGAGAGAGAGGAAGCAAGAGAGAGAAACTGAGGAAGCAAGACCCTTTTCAGCAACCCTGCTTTCGGGAACCAATCTATTCTCTTGAGCGCCAGAACACACTCATGAACCTATTCATGAAGGATCTGCCCCACGACCCAAACGCCTCCCACTAACACCACCACACTGGGGATCCAATTTCAACATGGCTTTAGGCTGGGACAACCCACATCCAAATGGTAGCGTGGCCAGACCCACCAACCTGGGCAGTGTGTGGGCGTCTAGGGTTTTGTTAGGAATGGAATAGGTGGCCCTGGGCACCCTGAGATGGCTCCAGGGGCTTTAGGGGAAGGTGGGCTTTGGGCATAACAATGGGCCTGTTAGGGCAGCCCCAAGACACGAGTCTGTTTATTTCCACTCTTCTAGTCCTGGATGAACTAATTTGCCCACCCTAATCCAGGGCAGGCATGAGACCCAGGTGTCTTCCCAGGGGAAGTGGAATGAGGGTGGCCTGCCTGTCCCAGGACGTCAGCTGGGCAGCAGGCCTGGAAGAGGGGAACCTTTGACTCAGGAGGAGCTTACATTAGTGGTGGTCTGGGAAATGCCCCACAAAAAATGGAAAAGAAGCAGATGGCAGATCAGGACTGGATGTGGCAGTTAGGGTGACCTGCAAAGGAATGCAAAAGAATGGGCTTGCAGGTCCCAGGAGGGAGTTCCTTCCTAGGCTGCTTTCTCCCCCATCCTCCCTACAGGCCTGTCAGCCTCGTCAAGACGCAGGGGTTTGGAGATCAGC